CCTTCATCGTAAGATGAAGCATGACACCGCTGTCCTTGCCGATGGAATAGAGCATCACCGGGTTTGAAAACTCCGCGGCAACTTCCCGGATAATGTGGATGCTCTCCGCTTCAAGGCGCTTCAGATTGCTCAGGCGCTCCGGCGTGATCCCGTGAGATTGCATGTTCATCATGTTGCCCAAAGGCCTTTCTCAATTAATCCAAATCATCAATCAAAACTGATTCTTAGGTCCGACCACAGCTCCAGCCCCGTAATCTCACTTCAAGCTGCCGGCGCTAAGCCGGAAAGTAGACCAACTTCGCTCACGGCCAAAAAGTGAGGATTGAGCAGGTCAATCTTCTCCGCACTTTCCGGAACTTCATAAATGAAATCTTCGCCAGATGCCGCGTAGACAACCTTGCCACCGGCTGCCCGAACAACAGCGTCCCCTGCCGCAATGTCCCACTGCATCGTCGGCGCAAGCCGCGGATAGAGATCCGCTTTGCCTTCGGCAACCAGACACAATTTGAGAGACGATCCCACGGAAACGGTCTCGGCAACGTCCAATGTGGAGATAAGAGTAGCGGTCTCATCGGACATGTGCGACCGGCTCGCTACAATCGAAAGGCCCATTTCGGGCACTGCCCTGACCGCAATCGGCTTTGCATCTATTATGCTGCCGTTTTCGATCCGGCCTTTGAACGCGCCTATGCTCGAACCATCAAGAGATCCGCCCCAATAGATTTCGTCAAGCGCGGGCGCCAAAACGACGCCAAACACCGGAACACCATCTTCGATCAACGCAATGTTTACGGTGAACTCGCCATTCTTCTTCAAAAATTCTTTTGTTCCGTCCAAGGGATCGACAAGGAAATACCTGCTCCCTGTCTGGGGCAGTAAACCAGCCTCAACAGCCTCTTCTGCAATAATTGGAATATCCGGAAACCGTCTCGACAAGCCCTCCAGGATGACCTTTTCACCGGCCTCGTCCGCAACCGTCACGGGCGATCCGTCCGCCTTTTCAAAGCGCTCGAAAGGCTCCGCATAAATCTTCAAAATTTCTGCCCCTGCCGCGACGGCAAGCGAACAAACAAATTGCGTATCAGACATTGACCTGCCCTCAGCCAGACTTCAGAAAATGCACTTGCAAAACGTTCTTTTGGAATATTCTTTCGCGTATTAACTTTGCACCGGCGCATTTTGCAACGCAACAGAAAAAAGCACATACTCAGTTTCCTTCAGCGTTCACTCGAATAAAATATTGATTTAACAGAACTAAATATCTAGATAAATTTGCTGCAGCGAACAAAATTGGCGAGCATTTATCCAAGAAAGTGCTTCTCCCAAAAATATAAGCCACAGGATGAAGTCATACCTTTTGTCATTTGTTCTGGTCCCGTGGTGCCAAGATCCACGCTCTTTTTCTTGAAAGCGATTTTCCGCGTCTCGAATGGGATCTGAAACGAGCTACAATTGACACCGATCGCTCACCATTAATCTCAGATAACGCCTAAGTCCCATTTACCCCACAAAAAAGGGGCTTCGAATCTCAGGATATTTGCTCCAGTTGGACAACGCTGGAGCGATACATGACCCAATTCACGCATACCCCTTTTGACTGCTCGCAAGAGGTAAGAACAAACAAAGAAGCTGCGGATATCCGAAACGAAACGCTGTTCGCCAAGGACATCCAAATGTGGATCGGACAGAGTGGGCGTCCGCTCAGCTACTCGGGTGTCGAAGCCACGATTGCACGAACGACCAAAACGGAACTCCGGCGGACGATCTACCTTCACCTGTTCTGAGACTGCACGGTTCATGGGGTTGCCTCGGAGGCCGGTTATCGTATGGGAATTGCATCCGCAACGCTCCAGCACAGTGATCCCACCGTAATCGAAGCGCACTACAAAAAGGGCGCAACGATCGGTTCGGCTAGAGCCTATGAGGATATGTTGGGCGGTTTTGTCAACGACATAGGGCTGATCCTCCCCCAATGAAGTTGTCTGCCGTTATGTTTAGGAAAACGGAAGATCAAAGATTGGAAACAAGCGCCACAAGTCGGCAGAGGTTGTCACGAAGCCCATTCATTCGGGTCGTGTTGTCGTTAACGTTGGTGGGAAACTCGAAGGCGTTTTGTCAGCAGTGTTTCCAACGAACTCATTCGGGATCCCTTCTGTCACCGTCCAGGCATCGCGGTCACCACTGCTACCACCAAGCGATTGCGTTGGCGTCTTCTTTCAGGGCCTTGCCACGTACTTCGACGCTCGGAGCAGGGATCGCGTTGGAAAGAGTGATTTTTCGTTGTGTAAGATTGCATTTACGAAGGACGCGAGGACAGTATTCGCGCGACCTAAGAAGCACAACGTGATTAAGTCTCTAAAAATATGGCGCACCGGGGAGGATTCGAACCCCCGACCCCCAGATTCGTAGTCTGG